AGAAATTAAGACAGAAGAATAAAAGAAGAAATGAAAAATAAAGAAAAAACATTAATAGAAAAGTTGTACACCAGTGTACAACTGAACAAGCTGCAAATAAGGAAAATATGAATCCCATTCAACACATTCATACTGGAAGAGGCACCACTGGCCTTCAACATAGTATATTGAGTATCCCCATTACTTTTAAAGTATTTTAATTGCCAAAGTACTGTGCTGTGAAACTGACTCATTTGATACACGTTATACAATAATAGAATAACATACAGTAAAAATAGTTTACGTGCAAATTTGAAGTAAAAATTTATATGAACAAAAGCACGACTGCTTTTTTAATTCTTCAGCAACATAAAATTGAGGAAAACAAGCCTTACTTGCTGGGGGAAGAGGAGTGATGGAGAAAACAGCCCTAAAAACAGCATTAAAATTTTTGAAATTTATAAATCTTTATATTTATTAATACAAGTCTTCCCTTGACTGTCTTCTGCAAAAATTACACAGAAATATTCAGGTTTTTGAAACACTGGTCAACGTAGATCTCAAGTGTAGAAACAGATTTATTTTCTGTAGATGTTAGCCCTGATTTTGTTATGCTAAGCTAACCACACAGAACAGAACTCCACTGTTGTCACTGCTTTGTGGTGCTTTAATGTTATGTTCACCAAAATTATGCTTCCAGCAGGACTGAGCAAGTCCATAGCAGATTCCATATTTTAATTCTATTAGCATCACAAATTATGTAGCAGTTTAATATTTTGAAATTTCTACTCTTATTTGAGATGAGAACATAAAAAATGAACATTATGCTTCAATTAAGAGCAGTAACAGTTTAAAGCAGTAACACATGTCTACGTAGCTAAATAAACTCTAGCAAAGCAATGAAACATATATATGTATTCTAAAAAAATATCCCTAAGTCTCAAGTCTGTAAATGAAGATGGTATATTTTATTTGAAAAACTTTTACATATTAATATTTGTGATGCATATGTTTAAGAAACAACTAAAAATGTTAGAAAAAAGTATTTTCAAGTGAAACTAGGTCACTGATTATGTAAGCTTTTTTGTAAGCATGTCACCTGTTTTACGGAGATTTTATCTGCAAATACGTTTTACTGACTGCCTAGTGCAAGAACAGAATCACAGTAAGTACCATGTGAAATAGTAACTAAACATTTACTCCCATTCTCCACTAACCTCTAAATTGTAAAGGGATTTTTCCTGTCTTTTGAATTAAAAAATATAAAAATCAATTAAGAAACAATACAGCATGTATCTTGACAGAGAACTTAATCCCCCATTTAAAAAAAAAAAAGGTGGATTTACATCACAGGTCTACTGTTACTTTGGAAATAAAGAGTAGTAAAGCACAAATTCCAACAATAAAGTAAAAACATACCATTAAACCAAGCACTTCAAATCAAATTAAATTATTTTAGTAGGAGAGCATTTAGATGAGGCCTGTGATTTGTAAATACATAAACTGCCTTGCAACAGATCCTTACTACAGATCCAATTGCTCTCTATCCGTAAAACTCCACAAGACTGACCCAAAGGAAAAAATAACTGAAGTCTTCAAATGGACCTAAAATGGGGGAAATTGATCATTTGTTATCTACAAACAGGTAAGTGCGTAAAATAAACTTTCTCTAGATTTTCAATACAATACCAATATAGTAAATTTAAATTTTATACATGAAAGTTACTACCTTGGTCACAAGACACAGCAACTGTTCACATGGACATCTTAGAGGAAGGCAGGCATAAAGAGGTAAAAAAACTGAAAGAAACAACTGTAGACCCAATTTTGGGTTGCAATGTGAAGGTTACATTCAAAATTACTTCATACACGTGAAAAGCATGTGACATGGCTAACACAGCCAGACAGGACTCCATCTAAAGAAAAGAGGTATTTGTAGTCAGAACAATTGGTTTAGCTACAAAGATTCAGCAACTGATCTCAATTTTAGTTGAGCGGATGCTGCTTTCAACAGCTCTCATGAAAACAGGCTAAAACAAGAACAGACTCCACTTGGGGGAAAGTTTCCCAGCAGCAATCCAGAACGACAGGAAAAAAAGATGTCCCTAACACTCTTTATACACTCTTACAGAGTCAGTTTTCGTCATCATTTATTAGAAATAAGTGATTTGATAAATATACCCATAAACTAAATTGGTTAGAAGTTTCATTTATTAGTAAATCCAGAAACATCTCTAGATTATAGGCAATTCAAATTCCATTCCCTCTGTTATATGTATAATAAACTGCCCTAGTAAAACATCCTGAAAAGCTATGGAATTCAGAATAGCTGAGAAATTCCAACCTAGTATGAATGCTGGCTTTTTAGTTCACTGGCATGTGATCAGCCTGACCTGCAATGCTCCATAAAACAAGTGGAGAAGCTTCCAGCATATCTTCCAACAAGAAATAATAGAACAAAACAGAAAATCTATCACTAGCGTACCATCCAAACTTGAAGAAAGGTGCCGCTCTCGAGAGTTATGTCATATCCTAAACTTCAGTCTTCACTTCTGATCAAGGAATTGCTCAGAAAGGAAAAATAAAAACAACCTCAAAACCATGCTTCCACGTCTGTCCGCACTTAAAACATAAGACGCCTAAGAGCTGTCTACATAATCTACCCTCCTGCATCAATTCTGGGAAGAACAGCTGCCTGACCACACTGATGAACAGAAGTACAGAGACATCTAAAACATGTTATGTTATGGGACACTTCTGATTGCTTCAAGAACTCAGGTTTCATTTAATTCTCGAAAGCCTCCCTGCATCAAATTCTGTCCTTAAGTTGGCAAAGACAGTATTTATATCAACTTCCACTATCAGCAGCAGGTGTTTCTGCTAATACCTTCCTCACGACAGTAAATGTCTGCCATTACTGCAAAGGTCCTATGAGCTGCAGCAAATAATATCTGTGAATAGCTTGCATCTTGATTCACAGAATTAAAAGAAAACTTTGTAACTGTTTGTAAGAGCAACAATCTGCTCAGTCTAGCCCCACAAACCTGACTACCTCTTTACCATTTAGCAGTCACTCCACAAATATACCCTAAAAAGATTTCAGCATAACATTTGTTAATTTGACCCATGCCCTTTGCAGCTTGTGAAAGAATTATAGTTACTTCTATCTGCTCAAAGCCATTACCAGGATCACCTGTCAAGTACCTTCTTGTCTTCTCCAAACACGTAATTGTTCATTCAAAGCTGAACAAGTAAACTTCATCCTAATACACAGAGGAAATTACAAAGCAACCTTACCAAGTAGAAAAAGACCAACAACATTATCTAACTGAAGAAACCATCCAGATCAGGCACAAATTGGATTCAGGCCAAGAAAAGGAGACTGCTTTAAGTGTACTGATATAGCTCCTACTATACCACCAGACATCCATTCTCACGCTCCTTGATGCTAGTCATGCACCAATACTGCTGACTTTGAGAGGTTCAGTACAAGAAAGACAAGTACCTGTTAGAGTGAGTCCAGAGGAGGGCCACAAAAATTATTAGAGGGCTGGAATACCTCTCCTACAAAGAAAGGTTGAGAGCATTGGAGTTGTTCAGCCTAGAGAAGGCTGCAGGGAGATCTTATAGCAGCCTTTAAATACTTAAACGGGGCTTATAAGAAAGATGGGGACAGAATTCTTAGCAGGGCTAAGAACTGGAAGCATCAGAATACAGCAAGGCAAGTTTTGTGGGGAAAGTTATGCTTTTTTCTTTCGTAGACAAATTGATGCTGGTGTAGAGATGAACATTGTGTATGCTGTCTGGAAAAACAGCCTTTTTACAGGTAAATTTTACGAAGGGTACTATCATCTTGCACAACCGCTTTCTTACCAGGAAACCACATAAACCATGTTAGATCATCAACAGACTCAGCTAAATTACAAAAATCATAAGGAAGAAAGACAAGGAAATAAACTTTCCTCAAACTTAAAATTATTATTCTCAACTAAAAAAAAATAAAATATATTAATACATATGGCCATCCTACCATCTCAGAGTAAGGACAGTTCTCATTAAAAACTACAAAAGCAAGCAATGGCAAGAACACTTCATGTCCTTATGAATACCTACTACCTTAATCCCAACTTGCATGTTTTAATATACTCACTAAAAAAGTGGCTTCACAAAAGTTAACAAAAAGTTAAATTTATGAAATCAGCATAAATCCTATCAGTTTTGATTCCCTGAGTCTTCAGACAGCCTAAAATAATAGCTCTCAAGTAAGTAAGTTAGGTCATTTATTTCAACGGACAGCAACCTTAAAAATTAGCTGTCATGATTTAAGTATCAATAGCATTCATTATTGCACTACTGATTACGTGTAGGAGAAATACCCAACTAGTGTGCCAAAAAGCCCCCCAAAGTCTCCCTATAACTTCCAAAATATTCAGCTGTACCCTAGGAATCAATTAGAATATTTTAGATGCAGTATAGGTTTACAGGAGGATACACAGGATGCAGCATGAAACAAGAATCTACATCATTGTTTTACTAGAAGGAAATAAAAAAATTTAGAAGAGGAATTTGGTTTAGCTGCGTACATTGTACAGTCTTATGTACATGAAGAGTGATACAATATTGTTTGGTGAGTTACAGACAAAAAAGTACAAGGATAGGGACTACGGCAAAAATAAACAAAAAACATTAAGGATGGCCTCAAGGTTCTATTAAAGTAGCAAAAAGAAAACTATGTGCAATTCTTTTTAACTTTGTGGCATAACAATAGAGGAAGGCTCATAATATGGATTGGAAGTAATCTAGGCTTTGTCTTGACTATGGGTAAATTATTCCCAAGTAAAGTTTTGATTTCTTTAGTACAAGTCAAAACAAAGTTTACATGCCAGGCCTGTAAGCAGCACAACAAAAAGGTCAGGAAGGAGACAGAAATCCAAAATTATTATTTCTACATTTCCAAAAAGGGTTGTTACTAGAGTATAACTATATTTTAAATTGTAATCTTAAAAAATTGTAAGATTTACCTGTTGAACAAGGCATCTGGAAATTGGGATCATTGCTATCCAAAACAGGCAAACAGAACTGGGCACTTGCAGATCCTAGCATAGGATCCTTATTGCTGAGCATGTTCTTCAGCGAATCCTCTAAGACATTTTGACTTGTCCTAAAATCCTCACAGACTTCATTCTCCAGGTTGGATCCTAGAAATAGGGCATCATCTAAGTGTTCAGTAGGAATTAAATGGTTAAATGTATCAACTATATCCATGAAGACTCCTGTGTGTCTTTCAGCCCTATAGAAAGACAAGAAAAATACCATAAGAAAATAAGCTACAAATTGTAAAACACCTAAAGAATTCTTAAGGTATTTTAGATTGTAACCAAAAAAAAAAAAAATCTGCTTATGGCTTAATATGGCCCACTGTGTATCTAAAACTCAGCTCTCTAACTGATTAAAAGATATTCTATGCTAAATTAAGATAAACTCTATCAGCATAACTGTGCTGCCACTTTTACAGTGTGTTTAACAAGGGTTAACTAAAACACCTCCTTTCTAAAATGTGTTTAAATCTTAACCAACACAAGGGGGTGCAAAACCAGGGGTAGAGGGATATCAAGAACAAGTGAACCTGGTTAGCAGCACTGTGAGTGTGCGTCTTTCTTTACCTTTAAATGTAGAAATGTGTGATCAGCTTCCACTAACATCAAGAGAGCTAAGAAGGATCAGGACCTTGCCATAAGAGGCAATACTAGCCTATACTAGATTATACTTCTGTTCATAGAGGAACTACCAAATACTTAATCACAAGTAACTATTTTTAAGCTAAATTCTTACCTCTATTATTTTTCACCTATCACTACATTCAATAAAATTACAGAGATATGATATGTAAAATTGACCTCACACAAGTACATGAGAATTCTGAGCTGGCTTCAAAAGGGCTTCAGTTTTGTGTAAGTTGAGGTAAAATTTAAGGGTCTGTATTCAAAGATGGCACCTACGTTTTACAAGAAGGAATTCCCTATTTTGTACATCACTTGTTTGCAATATAGCAGAAATGCAACTAATGCAGCAGAGATTCAAGTAAGAAGAACATAGAACTACACAACAGAAAAGTCAGCAAAATGTTTCTTCAGAAGTTTATCATAAACAAAACAAATACTTAGAGTGGAGAAGGATGATTATAATAAGTATGGTCACAGAGGAGTAGTGCCTGGATTAACTCAGCATACAGGAAAGTTTGAGAGACCACTTTTGGCACACACAAAGCTATTCAAGCTTTTGGAAACAGAAAAAGGACACACATTCTCTCCCACTCCTTCCTTCATCATCGTCCTGTCACAAACTAAACAGGATTTATTTATTTTTCAATACAGTTTTTTTTTTAAAGGAAAAGGAGAAGTGAGATTTAGAGTTTGTAGTACTGTAATTACTTTCTTGATCCCTACTCCAGAAATCTGCCATTAAATAAATGCAGTACTTGAGTCATGCTGATTAAAACATTAAACATTTAAACATGTTTGCGAAACATTCTTGATCATCAACAGGGAAGATCCTAGTCATGTAGCTTTGCTACAATTTTAACCCAATTTATGTAATTTATTTAATTTCACAAGATTACAAAAACTACAGGTAAGCATGAAAAATGGTGCGGTTTTTTACATCATGACAATTTCTTCCTTCTCCCATAGGGCAGCTCAGAAGAAAACAATGGTCAGGTACAGCATTACACCTTTCCTGTGCATGGTGTCTTTTCAGTATCTGCATACTAACCATGACAAAACAGTCTAATACACAATGTCATTCTCACCAAACAGCTAGCAAGAAGGGAAGGCAGGACAAATCAAGTGTATTTAGTAAGTAGGTAACAGTCTTTCAGCAGCAATTATGTTATAATTTGAAAGCTCTCTACACCAAAAAGTGCAGTATTTTTATCAACCAATGCAGTGCATCTATGTATACACCATGCTAACTAGCACCTAGATTAGTCCGCACTTTGCAGTATTCAAAATAATTTCCAAATTTGGCAACAAATAAAGCAGCAAACTAAGGGAGGAAGAGCTATGCTGCACTATATAATCTCTTTTTACTATGCCATGTAGTTACAACAATCTGGTATACAAGATAATGTCTCAAAGTAAAAAAATCATTACAAATGTCATAATCTAGTACTTTAAAACACGTTCTCATAACAACAGCTTTTTTTTCATATTAGCATGACGATAAAATAACGATGAACCCTGACCCTAACAAGTGACAATGACACTGTAATAAAATATCCATTAATTACTGTAACAAATCTTTTGTACCCAATACTAAACACTAAATAAATATATAACAGGTAATCAAACACTGCTGTTAGGAAAGCAGTGCCTACTACTCTGCTTAAGCAGTATGTTAACCCCTGCTAAAAAAAAATCACTGCTTACAGAAATTAACCTCTGTCTTCAGCAAAGTGACTTTTTTTTTGTAAGACTGCCGTGCAGCCATTCAGAGTAGACAGATGATTGCTAGACACAGTTGCTACAAAACAACAACAAAAATTCTTCCCTTACACAATGCCTTAAGTGCATGAATTGTGAATGGCTTCTTTTGCACTTGAAACACTTTGAACACCAGGAAAAATAGCCAGAGGTATACCTAAAAACACAGTTAAGTTTTTCATGGTTACTTATTTCCAAAGATAACTAACCACTGGGAGGAGGAATGTATTGTTCCCCTGGAATACAGCTGTCTCCTCTCTTTGAACCCTGCAGGCCAGTGGCTTGACATGACTCTCAGCAAAACTGCACATACCATGTGTACTCCCATTGCGCAATAATTTAAAAGTGTTACTGAGTAGTTAATCAGAACAACAGAATACTGCAAGTCTCATGTATGGAGAACCAGTGAGGAGTGTTTCATGTACAAGACAAAGGAACAAACGACAGAGGAGGAAGTCCCAGCCAGGTTCAGCCTGGACAGTCATGAAACTTCTCCCATCCACTGACTCATGAAGATTGGAGCACAGCACAGCAAGATACAGGAGTGTGGCCGCAACGAGACCTGACCATTATGAAAAAGGTGTAGAAGGCATTCTCTTCAATTCCTTAAAGTACATTTCTCTTACACCTTCAAGAATGATTTGTTTCAATCAGCCCACCACTGCAACTATAGGTACATATGGAAGTAACCCACTAACTAAAACCCATCATTAAAACCAACCCTGTTAAAGAGAAAAAGCATGTCAGTTAAACATGACTTCCAGAATTTCCCCCATTTCCACCATAAAATCTCTTCATGTTTTCAACATAACTTTATTTGTTCTTGAAAAAGAAAGCTGAGTCTTCTAGTTTATAAAACACATTTCTTTAGTTGTTGTTAAGTTTAGTACAGCATTGCCTCATATCCCAACATATACTGACATGAAATAAACATTCTGTAGGATCCTATACGGCAGATTTTTCTCTTGTCCTTTTTCATTACATCTATAGCAGCTCTAAATGACTTTCCAAAATTACAAGATAAATAGCCATAATGACTGCCTGCTAAGGAAAGAAACCTGGATCTCAAACAAGCATACCCTTCAAACTAGTCTTAGAGGTGACGATTAATATCTTGACTAGAGACGCTGCACAACTTTGAAGTTTCTCATTGTCTGGTTTGTGAATGAAAAATTATTTTTATTCCTGTTGTATTACCTTGTTATCAGAACAGAGCAAAACACTTCAGTGGAGATATACAACTGCATCATCATGTCTCTACCACCTTATCTAAAACCCACTTCAAACAGGAGATCACAAACAGTATATACCACTAGAAATTCTGAGTGTTTCCTAGCTTGAGTACAGGCCTGCAACTCAGGCTTTGCATTCCAAATTAAGTTTCCCTTAAACACCAGGTACGTGCAAGTATTTAATTTTCCAAATACATATTTGGATTTTAATTAGATATGTTTGTCTTTATATCTTATTATTTTCCTTTACATATGCTTTATTCTGTTTTAGTAGTATTCCTACATGATTTATTTCACTAAGCAAAAGTTAAGTCTCACACTTTTAAATAAAACTTACTGTAATTACTTTCTGTCCTCCCCTCTGCTCAGGAAGCAACTTTCATATATCAGTTTACGTTTTAAACTTGACTTTCATATATTAGCTTATATTTTAAATTTAAGACTATGTAAGTTCCTGTATGTTTGATTATTGTCAATTTACAAATAAATCTGTTTTATCAAAGTCCTCAGAAATTAGATTTCAGAAATAGTTTTTCTCTACAAAGAAATTAAACAAAAAATTGCCTAAATATGAAACAGGGGGCAAGGGCCTGAAGAAACCTAACCAAAGAAAATAAAAAAGCTCACACTGCTGACTTAGGACACTTAAAATCCTAAGATTGTTGAAGATCCAATCTACTTTACTGACCTACTTGAATCAGTGAATCTGAAGCTGCTGAAGATAGCACAGTAACACTACAACTTCCTCCATTTCATTTATGTACCTTTCTGAATTAGTATCTGTTGCTTCCAATTCACTGAAATTGGCTAGTGCTTTTAAAAGCTTTTAATTTTAAAAGCATTTGTAAATCTAGTTATTGAATGGATTAACATTAGAAACATTGCAATACTCAAAATATAAGACTTGGTCAGTTGTCCTATAAACACCTTCCTTCAGCTTAGGCACACAAAGTATCTGCGAGCAAGGACTAGTCATAAAAAGTGCTAAGACTTCATTAAAAAATTCCATATTATATTTATTTCCTCAAGTAGTAATAAACACTAGCCAGAGAAGTATACAACAGGAATAAGCTGTTTGAATCAATAGCACCTTAGATGTCAAAACAAATGGGAAAGGCTGACTCAGCAATGTCACTGAGGAATCAAAGAATACGTAATGGTAACTGACAGTAACTTTTTAGAAGAAGGGGGCAATTGCACTTCTACTGACATGAAATCAACTAACAATACAGGCAGTTAAACAAAAATCCCTTGCCTGAATCTTTTGGTGATTTCTGTACCTAAAAAAAGCACTGAAGGTATCAAATGTGCATCTTTGTTCACTGGTGCTGTGACGCTGGACTACCTTGTGTGCTCACTGATACCTTCACACTTCAAACCCACCTACCAAATCATGCCACTTCAAAATGCTGATGGCGAGTGTAGGCAAGTTTTACTATCATGCTCCCCTTTCCTTGTATACAAAATCCTTGAAGTTTAAGGTCACAAGCACCTACCTGAAAATTAATGCAAAATTGCTATCTGTCAGTGTTTTAAGCACTAGAAGCTGCATTCCTTCTTACAGCATTTATGGGTATTACAACAACAAAAGCAAGACCCAGGT